ATAATTCAGCGATCCCACCACGAAGGATCTGCCCAAGAGACACGGGGACCGGGGGACCCTGGCAGCGTGCACAGGGATGCTCGTAGCAGTGTTGCCCCTAAATGCCAAGATGGAAACCGCCCAAGAGTTTGTTGGTGGTCAAATGGATATGTACGCTGTGGTACATGATGCAATGGATGTCAGGGTGCAACGAAAATTCATAAGCACCCCAGTGAATCCCTGGGGGGTGACTCCGCGCAAAACAACAAGCACAAAAGAGTGCATGGCCCGGTTCCATTCCTAAAAAGCTCCAAAAATCCGGAGCCTGTTTAACAGGTGACAGCGCTGAGGGATGCACTCGTAGGTCGTCAAAATGTACGCAGGAACTTGGGATTGATTGCTGGGTGTGGATCAGTCAGGGTGGGGGTCCCAGCTGGGAAAGAAGGGGGTCGGGTCAGAAGGAGCCCCTGGGGGCTTCTAGGGGTCTGGACAAAGTGCTGTTTCTTGATATTTTATGGCTAAATTGATGGGTGATTGTTTTGTGAAGATTCATCAAGCTGTACATTTTAAAAAAAGTTACTTTTAATTGACTTTGGGCAGTATTCTCTGCATTATATTTCACATTTAAGAAGTTTTTGTTTAAAGAAATCCTTTCTTTCCTATAGGTCACGGACAGCTCACTATTTTTGGCTAAAAGTCATCGTTACTACTTTGAAAAGATTCGATTTTCTCTGGCTGCTTCGAAGGCATTTTCCTCTGTGTCTCTGGTGCTGCACGGTTTGGTTGTGATGTCCTCAGTCAGGGATTTAGTGTTCTATTGTGTGGGCTTCACTGATCTCGAACTAGGGGGTTGATGGAGCTTATCAACTGTGGGCCATTTTCAGATGCTGTTTCCAGTGAGTACGTCTGCCTCTCCCACCATCACAGCCTCTCTGGCCAGTCTCCCAGGAGCACATCTCCCGTCCTGGCTGCCAACCGCCCCTGACCACCCCTGCAAAGCCTCCAGCTCAGCAAGTGGATGTGAAGGGGGGATGGGGAGGAGATTCCTGTCCCTTTTCTGTCTCAGAACAGTTCCCCTCTCCGCTCAGTCCCTGTCAAGGGCAGTTCCTCTCATCCTGAGGTCCAGTGCAATGGAGCTCGCCTCAGTGGGCCCTGTGGTTTGGTGGAGTCAGAGACTTCCCCAGCCCCTTGTGCCCCCATCCATCTGAGCTAGTCAGCTGCATGCTATGGGAGCAGGAGGGCCCCAGGGACCATATATTCCTGGTCTCTAAAGCCCCCATGGGACTGCTGAGCACATGCAATTAGGAAAGAATGTTATGCAGCTTTCCCATGTCTGGAGAACAGGCATCAAGCTCTGCCACCTGCTGGAGTGGGCAGTGGCTTGGTAAGGGCAGGGGAGCCTAGAGAGTTCTAGGCCACTGTGGTCACAGGAAGGGAGGCTGGGGGATGACCCTATCAAGCACATCCTCCCCAGTGCACACACATCCTACACATGCACACAGCCACACACATCACACATACACAATATACACATGCACACATACATGCACACACGTACACACAACACACACATGCACATAGTCACACATGCACATATTCACAATCCACACATGCACACAATCACACACACATGCACACAGTCACATGCAGCACATATACACACATACACAGCCACACACATGTGTACACAACACACACACATGCATAGTCACACACATGCACAGTCACAAACATGCACACACAATACATCCACACACATGCATACACATGTACACACAACACATACACATGCATGCACAGTCACACACATACAATCACACAAAGCACATTTACACACAGGCACACAGGCACATATGCACACACTTGTACACACAACACACACATGCACACAGTCACACACACATGCACACATAGCATGTACATCACATGCAGTCACACACATGCAAACACATGTACAGTCACATACATGCAAACACATATACACATAATATATGCATGCCATTAGTCACACACACATGCAGTCACACACAGCACGTACACACATGCACACAGTCACACATAATCAGTCACACACACATGCACACATACACAGACAAAAGCGCACATGCACACACACTACACACACACATGAACACATGTGCACACAGTCTCACATAAGCACAGTCACACGGACATGCAACACACATGCACAGTCACACACACACACACACAGATGCACAGTGAGGCTCAGCCTTTACACTCCCCTCAGTCCTGATCCTTTATTTATTCATTTATTTATTTATTTATTTATTGAGACAGGGTCTCGCTCTGTCACCCAGGCTGGAGTGCAGTGGTGCAATCATGGCTCACTGCAGCCTTGAGTTCCTGGGCACAAGCGATCCTCCTGCATCAGCCTCCCAAAGCACTGGGAATATAAGCATGAGTCACTGCGCCCAGCCCCAATCCTTTTAAACGGGGCTGTTGGGCTGGGGTCCCAAGGGTAGTGACCAGGGCAGCATGGGGAGAGGGGAGGGCAGGGAAAGTCACCTGACTCCCAAAAGATACAGAAATACATGGAGGCACGTAGGGAGAAGGACAGAGAGAGAGAGCGAGAGGGAGATTCTTTCTTTCATTCATACAATGTTTATTGAACGTCCAATGTTTGCCAGGCACTGTGCAAAATCCCATAAAAATGAGGCGGGAGGAGTGCAGTGGACAGGGAGCGCCAGCAGGTCAGGCATGAGTACAGACAGGCGGAGACACAGACTTCGAAGCCGGACCCCAGCGCTGGAGCTGACGCCTGCTTGCTTGCCTGCTGAGGGCGAGAATGCACCTGCTATGGGGGCCTGACCTCACCGTGGACACCCACTGCGGGAGCACCAGTCTTCCCCTGGTCCCCAGGGTGTGGAAGCCAGGGGCCTTTGTAGCCCCACATTGCCCGGAGTTGGATACAAACATCCCAAGAGCTAGGGGTGCCTTTACTGGCTGGAAGGTAACTGTTCCATTTCCCCAACATGAACCCAGAAAGCTTCAGCCAGGCACAGGCACATCCCAGGGAAAAGCTGGCTGAGGGCTTCCCTAATGCAGGTGTGTTTCCTCCTGGCCCCTGTCCCAGGCAGCCACCAGCACTGGCATCGAAGGCTTAAGGAAAATAGGGAAAGAAAGCATTTGCCCCTCTACTTTCTTCCCTCCCAGGCATAACATGGACGACACCTGGACACTGGGGTCGGCCTTAGCTGACCTCATGACCCAGGACCCAGGTCTCCCCCAGGTGCCCCAGGAATTAGAAGCTAGGACCCTCTCTCTTCCAAGGCCCAGCAGCCTCTGCCTTCATTTTCCAGCCCAGGCTCATCCAGGAAAGCCTCTGGGTCTAATGGTGAAAGCATCCAAAGTGCCCACAACCGGGCTGCCCACATGCTCGGTGAGGCGTTCAGCCGCCCCTGGCACTTCTGCCACCATCCTCCAAGAGGCCCGATGACAGCTCCATGCAGCTCTGCATCAGCCTCGCAGCCGCCGCCTCCTGCCCGCTCCTCCCACCACTGCCTGGGGTGAAGGGTCAGTGCTCAAGAGTCCCACATGGTCCCCACCCTGTCCCCTCTCTCGACTCAGACCCCCAAGCCCTCCCGTTTTGAGGTCACACACTCCCCTCCCCTCCCCTCTTCCCTGAGCAACCCCTCCACCTCGGCCTGGGCTGCACCCCAGGCCCATAGGCAGGTGTTGGCCACCCTGCCTTCCTTTGCAGGTTTCTGGGTCAAGACTGTGACCTGCCTCTTGCTCACTGCACTCCTGCCACGGTGTGCCCTGTCTCCTGCGTCTGTCCCATCTGCTGCTAACTCAAGGTCCTCCCTTCCGAGGCATCCCACATCCCCGGCCCAGAAGGCTCTTCCCTTCTCTGCTTGGCATCTCAAAGTCAACATCTTCTTCTCCCTGGTTTCCTGCTGTTGGTACACAGCCCTCTCTACCCACTGTGCTGCCCAAGTCAAGGGGCGGGAATCCTCTGGGCTTCTCCCCCAGCTTACCTCCCAAATCAGTCAACCCCACCACCTGCACAGCTGCCAGGCGCCCTGCTGTCCAACCCTCTGCTGCTGGCCCCAGCCCAGGCTCAGCTCCTCCACTTGCATCCACCTCTGTCCACTGGGATCACCTCCAAGCTGGCCTCGCTACCCCGGAGAGCACAATCTTCCCAAAACACGAAGCACACGGCCATGCCCCTTCCCTGGGAAAGTTCGCCTGCCTTCCCATGGAATAACAAGTCCTTCCCACTGCACACCTGAGCTGTGAGATTTCCTGCAGTTTCCCAGACCAGCAGGGTCCCCACAGTGCAAGGCTCTGCACCCATGGCCACTGCCTTGTCTTCTTCATCTTCACCTCCCCGCCTCCTTCGTGTGCCTCGACACCCTGCGCTTTTCCTAGTGCACCCTCATCAGACTTGTCTTCAGGGCTGACCGGCACCCGCATGACTCTGCCTGAGTTCCAAGGGGACAGAGCCCATCCCTGCATCCTGCCTTCCACATTGCAGACTGCACGTGCCGTGGACCGGGATGGCACGGGTCTCGGCCTTTGAACAGCATCTTCAGTTGATTTTCACAGTGATTGTAGAAGTGAACGGTCATTTTCCTATTTTACAGTTAAGGAGATGGGCACGAGAGAGGTAAAGGGGCCTGCCCGGGTCCCAGAGCCCTCCAGGAGGGACAGGGGTTAGCCAGGGGTCTATCGTCTCTGCCTGCTGCTTCCTTCTGAGTGAATGTGTGGTTTCCTTTGCTCTGATTTGGCCAACGCAGGCAGCTGAGGCTGTGCTCTACCCACTTCTGTCCCCCCAAGAGGCTACCTGACCCTCTAAGCGACTCGAGTTTGGGGTACCTCCACCAAATGCCCACCCCCCCATTCACTGTCTGGCACAGCTGTAATGGAGCAGACTGTCTCCTGCAGTCCGCTGTGACACAGTGCCAGGGGCCCTGACCACCAGGCAGTTCCTGAAGGAGGCTTGCAAAGCTTCCAGACTTTTCCAGGCCCTGCCAGGGACACAAAGTAGAAGGCTGGGCTGGAGCTGCATGGATACTTCATTGAAAGTTCACAGACACCAGGGCTCTGAGCAGGGTCACAGCGTGGAGGAGGCAGGGACAGGGAGCATAGAGTGAGTCGTCCCATCCTAGGACACTTTTGCATAAGCCCTTCCTGCTAGGTGTCAGGTCCAAGGAGCCCCAGGAGCCTGGGAAGGGGCACGTGAAGGCAGGGACACAGACACTGGAAGCCAGGGTGCAGCAGCGAGGGGAGAAGCCCCCAGGCCCCAGACACAGGCAGGGCGGAGGCCAGGAGGCAGAGGGGGTGGGCTGAGGGCCAAGCTCACTGCCCCCTTGCTGTACTCAGCTTCTGATGCCCTTGCTGCCCGGTTCACATTTCAAGGGAGCCCCAGGACAAGAAGCTCTGCCCTGCCCCAACCTCATGGGATCCTGCGTTTCAGGGACCATGAGAATAAACATGTCTCAGTGCTTGTCTCCGCCAGAGGACGTGCCTGGCAGGCCTTAGTAGTCGGTGAGGGGGTACCGCAGGAAGATGAAGACGAGGATGATGCAGGAAGCTGCCAGGGCAGAGCTGGTGATGTTGAACAGCCGGGCCGTCTTTGCATCCTCCACGGCTCCATTCAGGTCATTGAGAAGCTTCTTGTCTCGCACCTGAAGCCGGGAGGACGAGAGGAAACAGGCAGTCAGCCAGGGAGCAGGGCCCCGGAGCAGCCAGGAGCCCAGCAGGGCCAGTGCCGCAGCACTCAGCACAGTATCAGTGTCTTGTTTCCGAGAGCTGACGAATGAACTATGGTTCTGGAGGAAGATGTCTCTGCCCTGGGGTACCAGACACTGATGAACTTAGGGGCACAGGGGCATCATGTCTGAAACCTTCTCTCAACCCTGTACTGGTTTATAAAGTAGGTAAGATGTATTTATGTAGAGAGAGAGAAGCAAATATGGTAAAATGTTAACATTTGGGACATCTGGGTGAAGGATATAAAGAAATTCTTTTCCTTTTTGCAAGTTTTAAATGATCAAAATAAAAGAAGTTGGCCTCAGAGAGAATATGATTGGAGGATGGGGTGACACAACTCTCTCCTAATTTGACTGGTTCTGCTTAGTTTAAAATTAACTGGGATGCCCTGAGGACGAGCGTTGTGCATTGGCAGGAGAGATAGCAGTCTCCAGGGCCCTTGGGGAGGGATATTAAGGTGAAGGGAGTGGGCTGGCACTCAGGAAGTCCTGGGGAGGCAGTGGACTGAGCTGGACTCACTTCCAAGAAGTGACCTTCATTCAGAATGAGTTATAGGGCCCTCCCTCCTCAGCACTCTTTCTTTCTATCACATTCACAGACATGTGCGTGAGTTTGCTGTAAGAAGAAACCAGGATGAGGAAGGGAAAGAGAATGGAAAGAGAGTAAGAGAGGAAGAGGCAAAAAGTCTTTGCCTTAGTAGATTGGGGCTGGGCTGAAAGAAGGAAGGTGGGTAGATAGATACTGGGACTGACTAATGCCTGGATCCCTCAGTGCACAGATTAGGCAGATGGACAGGAGACCCAGGTCAGAAGAGTGGACGGACAGAGGATAGATGGGTGGTCAGGGCAATGGGTGCATAACTGAGTTGAAGAAAGGAAGCATGAATGGTTTGGCCTGTGGGTGGATGGATGGAAGAGGCAGAATAGTAGAAGGGAAAAAGGGAGAGGAGAGAAAAAAGAGGATAGAGGGAGTGGGGAAGGGAAAGAGAGAACGCAATTCAGTGGAGTGGAATGGAATGAAGTGGAGTAAATGCAGTGAAGTGCAATAGAGTGGAGCGGATGGAGTGGATAGATAGAGTGGAGTGAGGTGGAGTGAAGTGGAGTGGATGGATGGAGTGGATGGAGTGGAGAAGATGAAGTGGAGTGGATGGAGTGAATGGAGTGGAGTGAATGGAGTGAATGGAGTGGAGTGGATAAAATGGATGGAGTGGAGAGGATGGAATGGATGGAGTGGAGAGGATGGAATGGATGGAGTGGAGAGGATGGAATGGATGGAGTGGAATGCATGGAATGGATGGAGTGGAGTCAGTGGAATGGATGAATGGATGGGTGGAGTGGATGGAATGGATGGGAGTGGATGGAATGGATGGAGTGGATGCAGTGGATGAGTGGAGTGAATGGAATGGATGGAGTGGATGGAATGGATGGAGTGGATGCAGTGGATGGAGTGGAGTGAATGGAATGGATGGAGTGGATGGAATGGATGGAGTGGATAAGGTGGATGGAGTGGAGTGAATGGAATGGATGGAGTGGATGGAGGGGAGTGGGTTGAAAGATGGAGTGGTGGATGGAGTGGAGTGAATGGAATGGATGGAGTGGATGGAGGGGAGTGGGTTGAAAGATGGAGTGGAGTCAATGGAGTGGGGCTGGAATAAAAGTTGGAGAGAGAAGGGAAGGGAGGGAACAAGGACAAATGAGCAAATAGATGACTTTGAAGATAAATTGCACAGAATGTGCTATCAAAATGGAGAGATCAACGATGTGAAGAAGCAGGTATTGAGGAATCAGGGTAGGGAAGGAGGCAGGAAGAAAGTCTATGCTCTCATCGGGTTCTCATGCTAGTGGTTTTGGAGGAATCTGAGATATGATTGAAATTTGTATTCCTTTCTAGGGACTGAATGTGTCACCCACTTATTGAGGTCTTATTTGATGCCTTTGTTAAAATAAAGTTGTATAACTTTCTCCAGAAAGAGCTATTACATCTTTTGTTAGACATAGTCAATTTATTTTGTTTTTTATTATTATGTAAAAGTATATTTTAAAATCGTATGTCTAACTGATTTTGTATCCAGCTAAACTATCATATTGTACTAATTGACCACATGTTCTTAATAATAAATCATATCTACAGCAAATACCAGTAGTTCTATTTCCTCCTTGCAGTCTATTCCTAGACAGCACAGCATAGAGGTTAAAGCACAGATGCAGAAACACTGACTGGATTTCAATCCTGATTCTGTGGGTCACAGAGTGTGCAGCCTTAGGCAAGCTAACAACTCACTCTTCTGCTCCTCATTTCCTCATCTGTGACATGAAGATGACAACAGCGCTGCCTCCCAAGGTTGTGGGAAAGGCTTAATGAATTGATGGATGTGAAACTCCACCACAGAGCCTGGGCCAAAGTAAGCTCCTCTCATGGAGGCAAAGAAGATCCCAGAGTGATCCCAGTCGGCAGCAATGAGGACAAGCAGTTGAGTCTCATTTTTGACCTCAACGTACCAGGAAGGATAATGCTCATCTTATCATTAGAGGTCTATGATTGCATTAGAATTTCTATAAGATAAACATATTTTTTCCTTCTCTAATTCATTAACAAGGTAGATTATAATTCATTGATTTTCTTATACCAAGACAACTCTGAATTCCTAAAACAAACTTTTGGTCATGATTTCTTTGTTGGATACTTGGAGTGAGGAATAACGTGGCAGAGGGAGGGTGAAACACTGGGTGTCAAAAGCGGATGGAGTGGCGGGCAGGAGGCTGAGGCAGCTGGGGTATTGGGTGCGTGGAAAATGGCGGCCATAGCTAAAGAAGATAGGGAAGAGGAGGGCGGGGAAGTGATCCCAGAAAGGTGGGTGGATGGAGCTGAGGGGTTATATGGATGGAGACTGGGTGTATGGGACAGAGAAATGGAGGTAGAAACTTGTGCTGGGTAGGGAGGAGGGCTGGACAGATATAAGAATGTATGCTGGATGAGTGGGACAGGCAGATAGCTCGAACACAATGCTTCGTGATGTACAATGGGGCTACAGTCCAATAAATCCATCATAAGTTTAAAGTGTCGTAATTGAACGTTTCATACGCATTTTCGTATGATGCGTTTTTCACAAGCCTGGTAAACTGAGGAGCGTACTGAGTGCCTATGGGTTTCCTGCCATTGTGAAGTTGAAAAATCATATGTCAAACCATCATAAGGTGGGGACCGTCTGTACATGCTGGATGGGGGAACAGGACTATAGACGAACATATGAATGTATGTCCAAATGGACAGATGGATATGCAAATGTATGCCACATGGGTGGGGCAGCTGGGTAAGTGGGTAAGTGCATGGCTGCTGGATGGGAGGTGACGTGTGGATATGTGAGAGCATGTTCAGTGGGCAGGACGGGCAAATAGATGAATACACGAGAATGTGTGCTCATGTGTTCATGGTGGCTTGGACCAGGGCAGTGGCAGTGAAGGTGGAGAGACCCGGCCAACTTCTGGACATGTGTTGAAGGTGGAGCCGACAGCGTTTGCTGGGATCAGGTTTGCAGTGTGATAAAAAGAATGGAGGCCGGGCGCGGTGACTCACGCCTGTAATCCCAGCACTTTGGGAGGCCGAGGCGGGTGGATCATGAAGTCAGGCGTTCAAGACCAGTCTGGCCAAGATGGTGAAACCCGTCTCTACTAAAAATACAAAAAAATTTGCCGGACACGGTGGCAGGCGCCTGTAATCCCAGCTGCTCAGGAGGCTGAGGCAGGAAAATCGCTTGAACTTGGAGGGCGGAGGTTGCAGTGAGCTGAGATCATGTCACTGCACTCCAGCCTGGGTGACAGAGTGAGATTCTGTCTCAAAAAAAAAAAAAAAAAAAAAAAAAAGACAGGAACTTCAAGTGATTTCAATGAATGGACAGGTGGCTACAGGAATACAGGAACGGATGCCAGACTGGAGGGGCAGGTGCACAGATGGGTTTCTGAATGCCCGCTGGATGGCTGGAGCAGGTCCATGGCTGGATATAGTAATGGACACTGGATGGCTGGGACGAATCCATGAGCTGAATCGGTGGAACAGGTAGATAAATGAATTTATGATATGTTTTGGATGGGTAAGACTGGTGGATAATAGGAAGGAGGGTTGTTGATAAATATAGCATAGACCACTGGATGGTAGATGGGTAGACAGATTCATTAATCAATCAATCCATCAATCATCAATCAATATTTACTTAGTGCCTGCTCTGAGTAGTTGCTATTCTAGGTCCTGCTTATATTACAAGGAATAAAACAGAGTCTCTGTCCTCATGTAGCTTACATTGTAGGGAGAAGATACAGAAAATAAACACAATAAATAAGTAAAACATGTAATGTGCTCAGTGTGCTAAAAAGAAACCCGAAGAGGCTCAAGGGAACAGAGAGTGCTGTAGGAGGTGCGAGTCTAGCTCGGTGGCCAGGAAAGACCTTGTGGGGTGGGAGATATTTGAGGAAAGACCAGAATAATGTGACAGACTCGGCCATGTGTTCATCCACAGGGAGGCACGTCCTGGGTGCATAGAGCTCTATGTGCAGGGCCCGGTGCTTCTGAGGACTAGGTGCAGAGTAGGGGTAGCAGATCACAGAGAGAAGGGGAGGACATACGGTCAGAGGAAACCATCCAGGAGCACGGTGCAGGCTCTGAGGGTGCTTTTTAGTCATTTAGAGCCGGAAAGATGAACGTGATATGACATATGTGAACCAGGCAGTGCTGGCTGCTGTGCTAAGAACAGATGGTGGGGACCGGGTGCGATGGCTCACGCCTGTAATCCCAGCACTTTAGGAGGCCAAGACAGGCGGATCACGAAGTCAGGAGTTCGAGACCAGCCTGACCAACGTGGTGAAACCCCGTCTCTACTAAAAATACAAACATTAGCCTGGTGTGGTAGGGTGTACCTGTAATC